CTGTGGGGCACGGGGCTGGCAAGGCTGTCCTCCTGCCACAAGCCTTCTGCCTGCAGCTTTAAGCTCTGCAGGAGAAGGGGAGCATTGGAGTTGTCAGGTGTGGCCAGAGAGGTCACAAGTGCAGCTGTGAGGCCTCTGGAGGACAATTATTTCAAAGTAACAGCACCAGAGTGTCAACACTAACGCTATTTCAAAATAACAATTTTGAAATAAGCGTTATTCCTCATGAAAAGCAGGAGTTATTATTTTGAAAAAACCAGCCCCTTATTTTGAAATAACGGGCTTGGTAGTGTGGATACTCTGCTTGTTATTTCAAAATAATTCCCTAGTGTATACCAGGGCTAGGAGTTCATGCTGCTTAGTATCTTGCAGGATTGGGTCTCCTCTTCCTTTAACAATATGGTCTCTTTTATCTTTTATTGGCATCTACTATTTCAGAGAGTTTGTCTGGCTGGCTGTTTGTGTGTTCGTCTGTCTGTTCAAGAACTCCTCCTAAATGGCAAGAGCTAGGACCACCCATTTGGCACATAAGTTCCTCTTATAACTTAAGCAAGGTCAGGGTTTGGTTGTGCCATGACAATGAGATGTGCCTGCAATGCGATTGCTTCTCAGAAAACCATACAGAAAAGAGAGAGAATCACCAGGCAGGTGAAAGGGGATGTCTGGGGTCTCCCCATCACCCCATCCGGGACTGCCCCAACTCTGAACCTCCCACCCCCCAGGTGCCCTTTAGGGAGCAGGGGGGCTGAACCTTCCCACCTAGGTTTATACAGGGACATTGCTGGCTGTTTCCCTTCATCAGGGAGCCAGGGGAAAGTGCTCAGTTTGCTGCATTCCTCACTCTGCCTGGGGAGTGCAGGGGTCAGACAAACCTGGACCTGCTCCAGCTGGGAGACATGTGCCCCTCCCCTGGCTGTGCCTGCTGGAGCTGCAGCAGCCATGGAGAGGCGCTTCTCACCTGACCCTAAGCTGCTGAGGTGAGAGAGGTCTGGGGTTGTCCTGTCTCCCCCAGGCAGCCTGCACACTACACTCCTCATCCCCAGCCCTGCCCCAGAGCAATGATTCAAATGAAGCATGCACATTTTCATTTCATTTTCCAAAAAAACAAAAATTAATTGCATTAAGGACCCAAGCAACACTGGGTAAATCTTCTAGTCATTTTTATAATCAGAAAAAAGTGTTCAAAGTGTCTACAGATTTTTTTCCCCTTTTTCCTTAGTGTGTCCTACATTTTTTAGAAACTTTAGTGATTGTGTGCATGACTTAGAATATGGGCTGTGAAGCAGGAAACCCAAATTGTAATCTCTTCTCTGCTGCTGATATAACCATGTAGCATTGGGCAAGACACTTTTTACCTAATTTGCAGAGTGGGGATAGTAGGACTTGGTTCTTATTTACACATCTTGGTTCTTATTTACACATCTCTGGTAGTGAAATATCTTAAATAAGTAATTCTGCCGCTCTACTCTGCACTAGTTAGGCCTCAGCTGGAGTACTGTGTCCAGTTCTGGGTGCCACATTTCAAGAAAGATGTGGAGAAATTGGAAAGGGTACAGAGAAGAGCGACAAGAATGATTAAAGGTTTAGAGAACATGACCTATGAAGCCAGGCTTCATGAACTGGGCTTGTTTAGTTTGGAAAAAAGAAGATTAAGGGGGGACATGATAGCGGTTTTCAAATATCTAAAAGGGTGTCACAAAGAGGAAGGAGAAAATTTGTTCCTCTTGGTTTCTGAGGACAGGACAAGGAGTAATGGGCTTAAAGTGCAGCAGGGGAGGTTTAGATTGGACATTAGGAAAAAATTCCTAACTGTCAGGGTGGTCAAATATTGGAATAAATTGCCAAGGGAGGTGGTGGAATCTCCCTCTCTGGAGTTATTTAAGAACAGGTTAGATAGACATCTGTCAGGGATGGTGTAGACGGAGCTTGGTCCTGCCTTGAGGGCGGGGGGCTGGACTTGATGACCTCTCGAGGTCCCTTCCAGTCCTAGTATTCTATGATTCTATGATTCATTTTCAGTTAGGTTAAGGCCCTTTGCACAGTCACAGTGATGTAAAAGTGCCTTATTGCAAATTAAAATTAGGTCTAGTAGTGTTTACCTACAGGATGTTGAGCATTAATTAGTTAAAACTTGTTAATGCAAAAGCTAATCTAAATATTGATTATTATTGCCGATAAATAGACAGTATTTGCAAGCAGGCTTTGGCTGGGCGGCGGGGGGAGGGGGGTTATGTCAATATGAAAAAATAATCTCAGCATGTGTGTCAAACTGCTAGGACACATAGTCATCTCGTATAATAACCAGTGTCCCTCTAAGCTGGGTGGCAGCCCAGCTTCACAGGTGATTAATCAGCCCTGCCCAGTCAGTCTGTGCAGGGAGCCCTGAGCCTCTGACTGGGCAGGGCTGAGTAATCACCTGTGAAGCTGGGCTGCCCCACAGCTTAGAGGGACACTGATAATAACCTTTTTTCTTTTTCCAGCTAGTGGGTAAAAATTGGATGTGATTCATGTTTATTTACTCCTGAACCCTGATCTTGATATTAATATGTCTTTACATTCCATTAGAAATTTCTGGGGACTTTTAATCCACTGAACAGGTACAGAATGGGAAGTGGCAAGGGATGCTTCCTCCATGCTACCCTTTGGGATCCCCTCTCTGGAGGGGCCATTAATAAGGGACAGATGACCATCCACACCCTGTGGCCTATTCAGCATGCAGTGCCTCTGCTGTGACTGCCAGACTGGTTGCCACTTTGTACCAATTGTTTGTGTTTTTATTTCTGGGTAGGTAACGAAAGCCGCTCTGGAAGTTGTTGTGTGATTTCAGAGTTTATACGACCACTGAAGATATCTAGGGACAAACCAGAACAATTGTCTGTCAAACCTACTTTTCTATCCAGGTCAAGATCCAGCAGCTCAAGATACATATATGATTCAGATGTGAGTCTTTTTAAATTGATGGCATTTATAATGTGTTTGACAGGCCAGAGCCTGCCTTCCTTCCTTCCTCCGTCAACACAGCAATTGCTTCTAGTGAAAACACATTAACAGTGTTATTCTTCACTGCCTGTTTACTAGTTCAGAGGAAGAAGAGGTGACAGGAAAGATTAGGGGAACTTGAAAATCACAGAAAGACCCTCTCAGAGGGTTTTGAGAAGACATGTTGGAAATGAAGGGAGGCAAAGGAAAAGCGTGTGGGGCAGCAGTCCACATTTTCAATTCAATTGTTTCATTTTAGTCTTTATGTTTGAACAATAATCTATACCCTAAGACAGGGGTCTCCAAACTGCGGCCCGGGGGCCGGATGCGGCCCGCGAGGGCCTCTCATCCGGCCCGTGGAGACCTTTTTGGATTCAAAGGCAGAAGAAGTGAGATTGTTTCAAAACCCATTTGAAGCAGATGTGGCCAGTTGCCCAGATGAACTGCAGCTGGAAGTCATTGAGTTGCAAGCAAATGACCTCCTTAGGGACAAGTTCAAAATAGGACTGGTGGGTTTTTACCAGTTTTTGCCCAAGGAAGACTTTCCTAATGTCAAAACTTTTGCATCAAGGTACCTTTCAATCTTTGGAACAACATACCTGTGTGAACAAACATTTTCAAGAATGAAATACGTGAAGAACAATTTGAGAACAAACTTGTCCGATGATAATCTCAGGTCACTGTTGATGTTAGGGACAACAAATCTAAAGCCAGAAATGTCTGCTATTTTGGCATCCAGGAAACAATTTCACCATTCACACTAATACAGGTGTTCATGTGTAGTGTATCAATGTGTTATTAAATAATAACTGAATAAAATAATATTAAATAAATAATTAAAAACAACATCCATTTTTTGATTGGTTTTTATTTGGACCTCAAGTGTGTAGTCGGCCCCCGAACTGCTGTTTGATAGTTAATGCGGCCCTCGGGCTGAAAAGTTTGGAGACCCCTGCTCCAGTGGAACAGGGTGCTACAGGTTGGTATTTAACTGCTCTTCTGAAAAGTTAAGGGTGGGATTTTCAAATGCACCTAAGTGATTTGGGAACACAAATAATAGGATTATTGTACCTCTAAATCACATGTGGAGTTGTGAAAATCCACTTAGAAAACCTGAGCTGGGATTTTCAAAGTGGCCTCAACAAACTAGATGCCCAAATCCCACTCATTCAACAGGAGTGTTGGGTGCCTAAACCCCTGAGATGTCTTTCAAAATCCAAGACCTCGACAGGATGGGTTAAGCAGTGTTTTGTAGCTACACTACTATTCTGTTCTGAGTCATATATAAGTAGGGTGACAATCTGCTATTTTTTAACTTTGCTTAATGTCTTGCATTCTTGTCTTTTGCTTAGTTTGTTTATTTAGTCCTTGTGAAATGTATCACATTTTGTTGACCTTTCTGTGCCCATTATTAATGTGAGATTGACATAAATCTCTATCACAGGACAGAAAATGCCTTTGTAAGAGCACTATTCTAAATGATGACCATGGAGCTCAGCTCTGTTCTAGGAAGGGCCACTTGTAGGTGTGAGAAGTGGATCATTCTCTTTGACCTGATCTTTGCTTGTCTTTCTTGATGTGGAAATCCACTGGTGTATCACCACCTGGCCCAGTTTCTAGGGTACTAGGAGGAGGAGGAGAAGAGAAAGAGAGTGAGAGGCAGGAGGGGGAGGAGAAGAGAAAGAGAGAGTGAGGCAGAAGCGGGAAGGGAAGAGAAAGAGAGTGAGAGGTAGGAGGAGGAGGAGAAGAGAAAGAGAGTGAGAGGCAGGAGGGGGAGGAGAAGAGAAAGAGAGAGTGAGGCAGAAGCGGGAAGGGAAGAGAAAGAGAGTGAGAGGTAGGAGGAGGAGGAGAAGAGAAAGAGAGTGAGAGGCAGGAGGGGGAGGAGAAGAGAAAGAGAGAGTGAGGCAGAAGCGGGAAGGGAAGAGAAAGAGAGTGAGAGGTAGGAGGAGGAGGAGAAGAGAAAGAGAGTGAGAGGCAGGAGGGGGAGGAGAAGAGAAAGAGAGAGTGAGGCAGAAGTGGGAAGGGAAGAGAAAGAGAGTGAGAGGCAGGAGGAGGAGGAGAAGAGAAAGAGAGAGGGAGGCAGAAGGGGGAGGAGACTTAAATACAAATGAAAATTTTTAATTATTAATGCAGAATTTTGTTTAAGAATGACTTACAATATAATTAAAATAAAAATTATCCAACTAAATTAAGTTTCTATCAAATTTACCCAATTCACATTTAATATGAAAATAGCCTTCAATCTGCACATTTGACGCCTTTTTTCTATTTTTTCTTCAAAGGGAGGCCCCGCAAAATTGTGCTGCCCTGGGCCCCGCAAAACTCTCATCCGCCCCTGGTACCAGTTGTAGCTGAATTTGAGCCTGTAACCTGCAGAATCTAGCTTCCTATGATCTCTGCATTTATTCACAGTTTTGAAAAAAATCAGCAGAGCTCTTTACAATGTTTTATTATTGCTAATCTTTACACATCCCAGCACTAGCAAGAAATCCCCTGAAACACAATTCAACTTCTTCAGTGCACCTGATTACAGTTCCTTTTCTTTCATGTCATTGTGTGTCTAGACTACATGGTTTTGTTGACAAAAGTGGACTTTTGTCGACAAAACTATACCTGCGTCTACAGTGCTGCTGAGTTCTGTCAACATAACGTCGACAAAACTCAGCAGTTTTCTCAATGGATGTAAACCTCATTCTACAAGGAATAACGCCTTTTGTCGACAGAGTTCTGTCGACAGAAGGCATTATTGCATCTACACTGTCCTTTGCGTCCACCCTGTCATCCACTGGCTGTAGTCTAGATGCTCTTTGTCGACAAAAGCTTCGTCGACAGTATCTGTCGACAAAACTTCTGACGAGAAAAGCCTGTAGTCTAGACATACCCAGAGAATGTGCACAATTCCAAACACCCATATATAAAACCTCTATAGACATGAATAAGGATGAAAGCCAATAGTCTCTTGTAGAAAAGTAACAGGGTTCTATAAAAATACCCGCAATCAAATTTAATAGAGAATAAGATCATATCTATAGATTTCCTGAATCAGCCTATGGAAGATCAATGGGATCTCATTATCCCAAAACACATATGGGATGATTTCTTTAGAGAAATCCATAAAAGGCTATTATTTTCTCTTAAATTCTGTAAGACTGTTCTGTAAAAGCATTTTATATTGGCAGAAAAGAGGTAATAATGAGAAAGAGGGTGGATGGGGACATCTGTAAAGAGGAGGAGGAAACAAAGAAACAAAATAATTGAGGTATATCTGGGAATGGTGGGGGAGGAGGGCAAGTTCTAAGGTAGGACAAAGATTTTTGCCACCTACAGATTACTATGACTAACCAAGATATTTTTAAAGGTATCAAAGCAGTCTACACTAAGGGCATGTCTAAACTACATCCCTCTTTCAAAAGAGGTATACTACATCCCTCTTTAAAAGAGGGATGTAAATTAGACAGATCAAAATTGCAAATGAAGGACTACAGGATCTTTCGAAAAAGGTTGTTTTTTTTGAAAGAACCGCATCTAGACAGCAGTTTCACTTTTGAAATACCCTTGATCGAAAGAATGCGCAGCCGCCATTATGCAAATGAAGCACAGGAAATTCAAATCCCAGCTTCATTTGCAATTTTGATTGGTCTAATTTACATCCCTCTTTCAAAAGAGGGATGTAGGTTAGACATAGTCTAAGACAAAAGTTTTTCAACACCATATAGTTCCAAGATTGAAAAGGCGTGTTTAAATATATTAAGAATCCTAACAATGGTATTAATGCATTACCACATGGAAAGGTTGGACTTATCCTTTCCAAACTATATAATGGAGAAAATGGAGAAATGTTCAACAGATATCTGTTTGAATGCTGGGGGTAAATAGATGATGTAATCATATCATACAACTCTTCAGGTTATAACCTCCTTAAACGGGACTATCTGGTCCAGCAACATCCATGGTCTCAGACGACCATGCATGTTCCTGGACCACAGAGCCCAGGTAAAGGGAGCTTTGGCTGCAGGGCAGGAGTGGCAGGGGGGTGCAGAGACACAGCTGGGAGCGGAGGCTTAGCAGGAGCAGAACTCTCTATTTTCCCTAGTTTGATCCCATCTACACTGATCTTCCTTCCTATTTCCTTATCTCTAAATACCATTGTCTCTGTTTTATCGGTATTCATAATCAGTCCATACCATTTCCCTCCCTCATTTACCACCTGCACCATTCTCGCTAGCGTCTCTTCATCTTCCTCGATGATAACTATATCATCCGCGAACCTCAAATTGTTAAGTCTCATCTCGTGCACCAATATCCCTTCTACCTCTTCCTTGATCTTGTCCACCACTATCTCTAGGTGCATGATGAAGATACTTGGTGATATAGGATCTCCTTGTCTCGTACCTATACTCATTCTAAACCAACTTCCCAACTCTCACCAGCTTGTGAACAGATGTGTGCTAACAGGGATTTTAGAGAGGGAGTTTGGAAGGGTGCGAGGTTCTCTTGCCTTTCTTTTAAATCCTTTTTCTAGGACAGCAGGTATGGATGGTGATAGGTCTGCTGTTGTTACCTACACAGCATGTGCCATGTTTGTCTTCCTCCCAGAAGAAAGAACAGATTTCATCTGCACTAAGTGCAAGCTGGTTGCCATTTTGGAAGAAAAAATTAAAGGACTGGAGTCCCAAGTGTCTACCCTATACTTGATCAGAGAGGATGAAGACTTCCTTGATAGAAGGAAGCGTTTAATCCTGCAAACACGGCAGGCAGAAGAGCCAGAGAGGGCAGTACAGAACCAGGAAGAGAACTGGCAGCATGTAACTTCTAGAAAGGGAAAAAGAATCCCCCAATGCTATAGAGGTAAGTAATCGCTTTCAGGCTCTTTCCACAGGCTCTGCGGTGGTGAACACTTTGGAAGGGACCTCACAAGGAAGAAACTGGAAGGGAACACCATCTACTGGAAGGCATGGGATGCGCAATCCTAGGGATGGGGGTTCAACGACCACCACCCCCAAAAGAAGATGATGAGTGGTGGTGATCGGGGACTCCCTCCTAAGAGGAACTGAGACATCCATCTGCCATCCGGACCTGGAATCTTGAGAGGTGTGCTGCTTACCGGGAGCTCAAATTCAGAATGTGGCTGAGAGTCTTACAAAACTGATCAAACCTTCGGATCGCTACCCCTACCTGCTTCTCCATGTGTGAACTAACGATATGGCCAAGGATAACCTTGAGTAGGTTACTGTAAATTATGTAGCACTGGAAAGAAGGATCAAATAACTTGGAGCACAAGTGTTGTTCTTGTCCATCCTCCCTGTTGAAGGGAAAGGACTGAGTAGGGATTGTCGAACTGAGAAAGTAAATGTGTGGTTGTGCAGGTGGTGTCAGAGAGAGGGCTTTGGTTTCTTTGACCCTGGGACTCTGTTCCGGGCATAAGGATTGTTAGGAAGAGATGGGATCCACCTAACCAACAGAGGAAGGAGCATCTTCACGGGCAGGTTTGCAAACCTAGTGAGGAGGCCTTTAAACTAGGTTCATTGGTTGGACGGTGACCAAAACCTGAGGGAAGTGGGAAAGTCGGATACGGAGAAGAAATGCAAAGAGGAACAAGCAAGAAAGGAGGACCCTGATTTGAATGGAGAAGGAAGGGGAATTGACAGGTTATCTGAGGGGTTTGTACACCAATGTGAGAAGCCTGGGCAACAATCAGGAAGAATTGGAGGCCCTGACTCAGTCCAAGAAATATGATTTAATTGGGATCTCTTTCATGATCTTATAATTTCCTGGGCCTCTTATTGTTCTTTAGTCGTTTCACTGCTCTTTCTATTTCCTCCTTCAAAATATCAGCCTTGCTTTCAATGCTCAGCGATGATATCTTTTTCAATTCTTCTATCAGTCTCTCTGAGACACTTGGGTCCAACTGTGTGCTTTGTATAGATCGGTACAATATCTTGTCCATCACTGCACAACCTTCTCCTTGTTCATGAGCACCTTATCATTCTCATTATTGATTGCCATCTGCTTTGACTCTCACTTCCTATTAATATTCCTAATAATCTTATATACCTCCCTGATCTTACACTCACCATAATACCTCTCTATATCTTCACACTGCTCCTCTAACCACTTTGCCTTATCCATTCTGGCCGCTTTCCTTACCTCATTGCATTTCACTCTATATTGCTGTTCCGCCCTCTCGGAGACATCCCTTCTGATCTTCAATACTCTCTTCTCTTGGACCAACTTCAGTGTCTCCTGCATAATCCACTTCTTATTGATCTTCTCTTCTTCTGGAACCGTCTGCTCAATTGCCTCTTCTATCGCCGTAGCTATCTTTTTGACTCTCTTATCTAGGTCTTTCTCTGTAACTGCATTCCTGATCTTCTCTTTGAGCACTGCTCTGTACGTGTTCCCTATTTCTTCCTTGCCTAGCCTCGCCACGTCTCTTTGTTTCTTAAACCTTGTTTTATACTTTCTCTTAAGTTTCATCTTGATGTTCGCAATCACTAGACTGTGGTCTGAGTCCATATCCACTCCTTGGAAAGTTCGGCATTTCTGTACTGATGTTACCCATCTTCTTCTCATCAAGATCATATCTATCATATTCTTGGACTTCCCATTGTTCAATCGCCATGTCCACTTCCTACAGTCCTTTTGTTGGAATCTTGTGTTGCAGATCAACATCTCGTGCTCCATAGCAAACTCTAGTAGTTTCTTGCCTCGTTCATTTCTTTCTCCGTATCCAAACCTTCCCATGACTCTCTCCCAACCTTTGTTATCTGTTCCAACCTTCACGTTTCAGTCTCCTCCGATGATCAACACATCTTTCTTTGGTATCTCCTTCAGTTTCTTTGTCAAATCTTTATATACTAGCTCGATCTCTTCCTCCATGCTGTCCGACATGGGTGCATACACCTGAACGACCAAGATGTTGAACGGTTTTGCTTTGAATCTCGCTAACATCATTCTTGCACTCACTGGTTTGTGTCCTAACAATGCTCCTCTAGCTCTTTTGCTAAGAAGGAATACGACTCCTGCCTCATGTTTCGCTTCGTTCCCTGACCAAATAACTTCGCAACCACACATCTCTCCCGATGCCATCGAACACATCTCTGCCAGTGCAAGTATATCACATCAGTACCTCTCCATCTCCTTTCAAAGCAGCTCTAACTTTCCCATTGCCCACAGAGTTCAGACATTCCACGTTCTGATTGATGTTAGTTGTAGTTTCCTTTCAGTAGCCAACTTATCGACCCATCCCCGATCGCTCGATTGGTATCGTGGACCTTGTTTATCCGGGCAACGTCCGAGCCGGCATCTTTTATCAGTTAGTCGTACTGGCATCAGATTTAATTCATATTGTTGTTTTACAATCAGCACATCGACACTCATCTGACCAACCCTCCTCCTTTATCGAAGCTTGAGACTGGCATGAAACCCCTAGAGGCTTCATGGCGGAGTTCCAATAACAATGCTGGTAGGAATTTCAAACTGGAAGAGAGGGGTTTTATCTCTCTGTGTTTTGTTTGAGATTCAGAGCAGTTTCTCCCACATATTAAGGACGATGGGAGACACTTCTCTCTCCAGGAACGGACTTCTTGAAATGTGTAAGTAGGGAAAAGTTTAGCTAGTCTGTCAGGGTTTATTGTTTTCCTTGTTTGAGGATGTAAAAATAATGTCTGAGCTTGTTAAGTGTTTTTTCCCCCCTTTGTAACTAAGCTTTTAGCCCAGGGGCTTTCCCTGAGTATCTATATCAATTGGTGGTTCTTTCCATCTAGCCACTTTACTATGCTTGCAACTGTAGTTTTGTTTTGATAATAAAGGATTGTTTCTTTTCTAATTAACTGGGATTGCTTGATTGTTGTGTCCTTAGGACTCAGTGCCTAGTTACAAGGGCAGAGTCCATTGTTGTCAGTGAATTCCCTCTGTTTTTTCCTAACTCCCAAGTAAAACGGAAGTTGGGTCAGGGGGAGAGTTTTACCTTAGGGAGATTTCCCAAGTTATCTCTTCCCTGGTTTTCTTGAAATTACTTGGGTGGTGCCAGCGGATTCCCCAAAATCTGAGTATTAGGATTTTGGGGGGAAGTTTTTGTACCAGAGCCTGTAGAAATCAGGTTTTGGAGTGCTCTTGCGGGCCCCCACTTCTGCATTCCTTGTGCCAGAGTGGGAAACAGCCTTGACACCCCTCCTCAAAAATTATTGCCCACCCCTGATCTAGACAGTGCTTGGTCCTGCTGTGAGGGCAGGGGACTGGACTTAATGGCCTTGCAAGGTCCCTTCCAGCTCTAGTATTTTATGGTTCTATGAAAATATATGGGATCTGTTTGTGTTGACTCAGCAACACAGTTGACTCACTAGGTTTTCTACTCATTAATTTGTAGTGGAGTAAAAATTATGGCTTTGCAATATTGTGCTGAATTAAGTATTATGGTGAATTCAGAGCGAATATGTTTTTCCACTGGGTTAGTGAAGTGGATGGAACTCCGACGGGTATTGGTTTAGGAGTGTTTTATTTGGTGAGTTTCTTCAGCTAACACTGATCACAATTTTTTAAAAATTCAATGTTTGCCTACAGTTACAAGTCAATGGTAGCTAAAGTACCACAGGTATTTCCTGTTCTAACTATAGGATGCCACTGTGGGCTAACTGTAAAGACTGTACATAATTCAAAGTGAATCATTTGTAGTGAGTCATCTTGGGACTAACTTGCTAAAGTTTTTATTAAAATAAAATAGCATGTTCTGGATAAATTTCTATTCATTATTAGTATACATATTTCTAAATAAAAATGAATTGCTGAAAGACTATATCAGACTCTGTTTCATATGGAGTGTTTTTTATGTGTTGCATGTTGACTATTTTATATATCCCATGAGGATAACAGTGTGTGCAATGGTATAAATCCTATGGTCTTTATTTCTTTACAGATGGATGATGAACGGAATTCCAATACTTCAAAGCAAAGCAAAGTCCATCTTTGCATCGCCCATTATAGGTAACATAAACAGTTGGGGGGAGGAATATAATTCCAAAATTCTGTTGGTTTATTTTTTTACTTTTCTCACACATGCAATTAATGTCCGGACCACAGTCCTGCTCATACACAATCCTAGGTAAAAGAGTGATTCACAGGGGGGTTCAGGGAAATGGATGGATTCTTAATCATACCCTACTTCCATAGCCTTGGCAAATGCTGTGGCCCACCCTCCATGCAAATGGGTTTGGCTTATGAATTTGCATATGCAAAGGCCCCCTCTCACATTCATCTGCAAGCTCCATGACCGCAGTGGGTGGAGCTTCCTGTGCAAATGCAAAGCACAGCTATGTGGTTCACTGTGGGTATGTCTGCACTAGCCACCCTAGTTCGAACTAGGGTGGCTAATGTAGTCATTCGAACTTGCAAATGAAGCCCGGGATTTAAATATCCCAGGCTTTATTTGCATGTTCCCAGGCGCCACCATTTTAAAATGCCCGGTAGTTCAAACTACCTGCCCGCGGCTACACGCAGCACGGGGTTCAAACTCCCTGCCCGCGGCTACACGCAGCACGGGCTAGGTAGTTTGAATTAAAGCTCCTAATTCGAACTACCGTTACTCCTCATTGCAGGAAGGGGTAACGGTAGTTCGAATTAGGAGCTTTAATTCAAACTACCTAGCCCGTGCCGCATGTAGCAGCAGACAGGTAGTTCGAACTACCGGGCATTTTAAAATGGCGACGCCTGGGAACATGCAAATAAAGCCTGGGATATTTAAATCCCGGGCTTCATTTGCAAGTTCGAATGCCTACATTAGCCACCCTAGTTTGAACTAGGGTGGCAGTATAGACATACCCAGAGAGTGCAGGCTTTCTTGTGTGGGCTTTCCTCATCTTATTCCTACCCGCTTGCACAGTGAAACCATGGAGGGATTTTTCATAGATTTTTGGGTTGTATATGCCGATAGACAGATGGGGGCAGGGTTTGTTTCTCCAAGTCATTTTCTCATCAGAGTGGAAAGGGAAGTCAGTGAAGAGCAAACAATATTTGTCAGAGGGGTTACTGCTAATCCGTGTCTTTCTCAGGTTCAAATCAGGAAAGGTAGTCTCAGAATATAAATGATAACATTGTTCATCAATCTAAGCTCTATGTCTGACTGCTACAGAAAGATTTTTAATAGAGACACAAGCTTAATCTTCAACTTCCCTCCTTCCTTAGAGGAGCAGTGACTGCAAATCACTGTGTTCACTTGGCATCTTCAGTGCCAGCAGTTCACCTATACATGTACTCTCTAAATGGCATGGGGGCACTTGTGAAAGTGTGGCTTGTCTGCTGGCTGACCTGGGTGTATTGAGCCTGCTGGCCCTAAGTTTCCGCTGGGGGGAATTTTGAACTTCTGCACAGGCACAGAATTCATGTCTCCCACAGATTTCTTTGCTTCCCTGCCAGAAAGTCATTTTTCTGTGGTGAAGCAAAGGGAATCCACAAGAGTGGTCATGCAGCACTCCCCAGCAACACAAATGTGTTGTTGCAGGTTCCCAGAGTAGCCATGGAGTGGTAAATCATGGGGAGGGGAGACAGAGCTAGGGAG